AAATGAATGTAGAAGCTTTTAGATACAAGACGATAAAGTAACTGAAGTACTGCCAAGCTTATATGTAAAGTTAACCCCTATTAAACGCGTTAAGTCAACGAAGACGTTGCGGGTGAGGCACTAAATATCTTATAAAAGATATATCACATTAAATTTTATATATATTCTTATATAAAGTAACTTTAAAAATACTTTAACAGAAAAATGATTATGAAATTATTTATTAAATACTAAAAATGAAGATTGTATAGACTGTTGATTAGTCCAACTAATATAATTAATAATAATAATTTTTTTTTTGTAAAAATGATTTGTTTGATTTTTTTCAAAGATAAATGATATTTTCATTTGAATGTGAGTTTGAAAGATCTAAGAGAATTAGTGTTAATTTTAATTGGTAATAAGATTGATTACGTAACATTTTCATGTCTTAAAAATATATCTGTTATTGAATTTAATTGGATAGAGTATTTCTTAATGTTATTTATTTTTTCTTCCTCTTTATTATTATGTCGTTTGAAGAAATGAATTTAATGTAATACATTTTAGTCCACTTATAATTTTTTTGAAGTAAAAGACTTCCAAGGAAAAGTAGCTTCTCTAAATAACTGAATTTTATCCCGTATGAACGAGAAAAGAAGAAAGCGAGCTGGAGAATTGTTGAGGAATTTTGTGAGAGAACTCTTATTAAATTGTGTCATATTATTAAGACATGAGGGCTTTATACTGCATTCAATTTATAAAATTCATTCATTAATTGATTTCAGAGCATATGTTTTTGATGAAACATTTAACAAAAAATGCTTTCATTCCACTGCCATTAATTTATGGTTTAAATTGGAGATCAAAGGTTGAGAAAAATATGTGAAAAATTATGAAATACTTGCTGATAATTACATATACATATGTACATGTACATAAATATTTTGAATATATTTAATAAATAATCGTTATATTTATTTTACTTCAAAGAGGTAGTTTAATTTGTCTTTATAAATAAATTATCGAGTATTCAATTGATGTGATGACATTTCATTGAAATGATTGAAACGATGAAATGTATTGATTTGTAAATTGAAATGGGTTGGCATGAGGGTTAAAATTATATTCATTGTTTATTGAACGATGAATTAATATAAATCAATCCGGTCAGTTGAGATTAACGAAGATTTCATTAGGGCCAATATGTGGCCATTTGTTAGATCTATTTGTCTTCCACAATATCATGTATCATATTATTATGCATCTGTTGTGTACAGAAGAAAAAATATGTTTTCCATTACAAAGTTAAATAAATGCTTTCCTAATAAAAATGAGAAATTTTAATTTAGTTAAATTAAATAAAATTTATTAGAGAAATATTTTTAAATCAATTGATATATTGTGATCGTTTGACATTTAAATAAATTGAAAATAAAGTGTATTATATTAAAGATATTAATAATTCTATTTAGGGCTTTATATAAAGAATTCACAAACTAAATTAAAGACAATTAATTTCAATGTGACACTGATGATATTAAATTTGTTTATTATTATTATTTTTTTATTTCTTATGAACCAATTGAAAAATTCAGGACGCACGTGATCGCTTTGAGTAACTTACAAACAAAGTCAATTACAGAATTATCCCTTTTAATTGTGATTCATGCCACACATATTTGAGAGATCTGATGAGTGCGATATTATCGTCGCGTGCCTAAGTATTCGACGATGATGCAATAGTTGCAACTCCTCTCTAAACTTCCTAAATGTGATAAAAATAATTGATGTTGATGGTTTGAAAATGGAGTAAAGCTTGAATTCTTTCGCTCACTCATTGCTAATTGTATATGCCAGTTATACTATTAACTATTGTATTAATAATTACACTAACACGCTAGATTAATTTTGCAATTATGTCATACGCTTAGAAGCAATATACAATAGAATCTGATTATTGAAAATATTTCAAGAGGTGTATAAAAAATATTACATTCAATTTTCTTTCAATTACAGAGTGATAAATGGAAAATTGTTTTAATGAATCATTTATAATTTGAAGATGAGTGCAGGAAAACAAATAATTAAAATACATATTAAAATCAGTAAAGTGGTCATTTTTATTTTCAATTCGTTCCAGTTTTATCGAACATTCTTACCAGTAGTCTTTGACGAAAAAAATTTGGATTTATCAAAGCATATCAAAACCAAATTCAAATCGTCTCAAGAAGGTCTCTTATAGTCAAGACCTGGTTTTGCTTTAACACTTTAAATCATAAGCATTTCATTTTGAAAAACTATGTCTTAACCAAGTCCAGATTTTTCAAATCAGGTCTTATTTCTCGGACCTGGGCCCTAGCCAAATTTTGTTAAATAAAAATAACTACTTCACTCATTTAAGATGTCCTATTTTAATTATTTGTTTCCCTGAACTCATTTCCAAATTATAAATAATTACTTTAAACTCCCTATTTGTCACCCCATACTAAAGGATTATAAAATGAGTACACATTGGATAAAAATTTCTTTTTTAAAAAAAAAACATTGATTCAATGATGAAAAAAAAGTATCAATAATTAGGATTTTTATCTTAATTGTTCCCAATAAAATTCCAAACTAATTATTATGAGTATTTACAAATAGTATAAATGGTATATTTAATAATTGATTGCATGACCAAGTACTGTAAACGATCATAGCAAAAAATTACAATGTAAAAAATCGAGTACTGTATTGATACTAATGCAGTAATAATATACTAGTGTTAATAAGTAAACACTCTTGAACAACCCCTTTCGACAACCCTTAGCCTTCCGTCTTTCCTCCTCACCCCGTTCCCCAGGATTACGCAATCGGATGATCGCACAATAAAATACCAGCACCAGAGTCTCGCCCCATTGGCTTTGGTCGCGACTACCGCAAATATTGTTCCGTAGACCACATGCCGTTTACTCAATGTTCATTCACATATTGATAGGAGCAAAGATTGAAGGGGTCTGAGGCCACTAAAAAAGTAACCCCTAAAACAAGGATTAGCTTCGCTACATTTCATCCCTTCTGTCGACGCGTATGTTTCATGATAAAGAAAAACTTAGTTCCTTCACTTTCGGGATAAAGGAAAGTCTATTTACTCAGCAGGGGATAACTCCACTGTCACATTTTGGTTGGAATTTACTTAAATTAAGTCAACGTAAATTTCGAGTCTAATTTATGAAATCCGAACATTTTATTTTTGAAAAAATTTCTTTCAAATTTTTTTCTTTTTCAGATTAATAATTAAATAGCGAACAAATATTTGAGATTAAAAAACTTTTTTATGTTTAAATTAATTAATATATCAGGCGAATTTACATTAACTGAACTAATAGATATATTAAACAGCAAAAAAAAATTGTTGTACAGACTGATAATTAATGGAGCACCCCCTTTATTGGTGATGATGATGTATGTACACACATTATGTGTATATACACTGTGGTTTGTAATCTTTTGCTAAGGGTGATGGGATTTAAGTTTGGGGAATAAGGGATTTGAAATTTATAGAATAAAAGAATATCGTTAATATGTTGTGGCAAAATGGGTTTTTTGACAAATGTAATTTTAAAAGAAGTAGTAATAAAGTAATGGGTGGATTTGAATAATTTTATTATAAACAAGAGAATGGGGAAACGAGAAAATGAGTCATAAATTATCTCTAAAAAGTATTGAATTATATTTTTACATTTTATCACATAAAATCCGTTTTTGATTAATCCGGATATTAAATGCAATGTAAATAAATATTGAAGTAATGATTTAATTACAAGAGAAACTTTACAAAATTATTTTTATATCTAAACTCGTATTTATATTTATGATTATTTAAATCTAATTTTCAATACTTAACATAATTTTAAATATTTATTTGAATGTTATTGATTTTATGTCAATGAAAAAATTAAATATTTATTTAGATAAAATATAAAAAAAAAATAAATATAATAAAGATTATAAATAGGTTAGCTAGATTGCTTTGGCATAGAGAGTTTGAAGGTATCGACGAGTACTGTGAAGGTTGAAAAATAGTTAAAATTGTATTAAGTTTCTCCAGCAATTACTTTTGATACTCGACACGAGATAATGACATTGGTGGAAAGGAGAAAGAGCGTCAGATAGAAGAGCACAGATCTGTATCTGAGCATCTGTATCTGCAGTATTTGAATGAGAAGGAGGAGAGTAGGGAAATAGGAGTGAGGAGAAGGGGGATAATAATCCGCTAATATCAATTTCAAATTTCAATTAGTATCATCTCGGCGACTGCTCTCGGCTTGGGTACTCCCCGGACGCCTCGTCGAAGCACGCCATGATCTAAAATTCAATTTGTCCCTCTCGGTATACCCGTCCGGGGACAAGTGAGAGGGTGAAGTAAATCGAGAGAGAAAGAGATAGTACTAGTCTCTAAAGCCACACACTCAAGGGGACTCTAGTCTAGTAGGCATAAACTCCAACTATAAACACGCACTCAGAGGATATGCCTACATGTTAGTACATAGGATGTCATATCCTCTCTCTGTATTATTTACAAAGAATCTTTATCTGTACCAAATTAATCAAAAGTTGTATCCTAAAATGGATTTATTGATCAGTGATACTTGGTTTGAAATTTAAATGATTCATTTTGATCAGTCGTCATTATTTGATTCTTCATGTCTGTAAGTAGATTGAAAGTTGATTCAAAAAATCATTTTATTAATTTAATAAAAATGAAAATGATCCTTTTAAAAAATGCCATTTTTCATCTCATCTCTCCCTTTGTATCTTAATATTCACATAATGCTAAATTAACTCATTATTGATTTAAAATTCACATCCCTTTATCTTATTTCCCGTACATTATTTATTTATAGAATTTTGCCAATTCTCTGGGGTTACGATATTTTAGTACAAGTATTTTTTGATGGTGTATGGATGTGTTTTAGTGGGATATTAAATAGCTTAAATTTGATGGACATATTTTTTGAACTGATCATTTATTGTAGATTGGTTCAGTGCACACTCACCAGTCCCAAACACATCATTCGAATTCGCAACGTCAGACATCACCGCAGTCTCAAACTCCGGTGGCAGGAAGCGGTGCCAGCGGGGGGCCAGGTGCTACCCCAAGTGTTGCAGCTAGAGCGGGGGGCATGTTCTGCTATCATTGCCCCCCGGGCTTACCAGCCCCGAGACTTCCACCCACCTTGGAATACTCATTTGCACCTACACATCCTTGTAAGTATTTTCACATTTTTTTAATTATTATTTTTTAATATAAAATATTTACTCGAAAGAAGTTTAAATTAGCATTTTAATAATAATAAGGAGAAAACATATTTTATGTAAAGTGTTTGATGAATTTTTTTGTTATTGAACAAGATTTTTTTTATTGATAGCAATTATATTTAGTATTGTATATTGGTAGATAAAATACATTTTCTTTTACAAATGAAGTAATCAGACTTAAACACAATCAACGCTCTAACATTAGAAAAAATATATTTTTTTAAAATTTATACACCACAATGTAATCAGGAAATGAATGGTTTTTTTAAGAGCTCAGAAATGTCCAAGATTTTAATTTTTCTGGTGATGATAAATTTTTTAAATACAAATTTTAGCAAGTCTTTCTCAAAGAATCATAAAACAAGATAAAAGTGGATGATTTTTTAATCTAAAAAGTAAATTCTTTAATTTAGGTGTTCCTTTCATCAGTATATTCACAAGAATACCCTCTGAAGAATAAGTATTTTTAGAATATAAACTTAATTCCTGTCACATTTAATTGATTTATATGTACAACATAAAGAAACATATTGCTGAGTTAACAATTGAATAATGGCAATTATTTAGTAAATGATAATAATATAAAATGAACTAATGTCTCACTTGAGTTGAATTAAAACGAGGTAAATGAAAATAAAAAAATCTGGAATGATCAAGTAAAAGCCTGCTTTACATCTTCCATGAATTTTAAAAAAGTAAAAAATTGGTCTGATGATATTGAACTGGAGATAAATATAGTTATGGATAAAAATTGAGAATTAGAGGCAATTTCGGCTTCCACGTATCATATCTATGATGCGGAGAGTAGTATCCAACCCATCAAATTTATAACTCGTTTTACGTTTTTCAATTTTCCTCAAACGCTTTGGCTTCACCCCGTGCTTTATAACGCGTCACTTTAAATTTCTAACCCCACTTGTGTATCACCCCTTCTTCCCTCTTTGCTTTCTCACCCTCTCCTAGTGTATTTCTATTGAGATATTTTATTCAGACATTCTTCAAAACGCACCAAATTGTATAAAAGGGGCATGTGTATATATGCATTCTTATAGAGACCAAAATTCAAAAGAGATCGATGTGGGGGGCCCCCTAGTCTATATTATAACACATTACGAAGTGAATTATTGATCCTCAAGCAGGAAATAGTACTTATGATAAATTATACCATCATAATTTCCTTATCGCAAAATACAAAACTCTAAGAGCTATTTAAATTGATGTAATCCAATTATTCAGTAACTGTCGTTCATTACATTCATCTGGTATCAAGTAAGGTGTTTTTGAATTTGCTACAATTGTCTAATAATCATAACAAAATTCTTTCACCAACAACTTTGATGTTTATTCAAAAGTTAAAATATTTTATTCATTAATTTCCTATAATAAAACAAATGTATTTAATAGAAACATCGTTTACTGTTGATCAATAAATTTTATTTCAAGTAAGTTGGATTTATCTCAAATAAAAAAATTTGTTTTTTCAGTATATAAAAAAAGACATAATAAATATCCTTTCAGTGCAGTGAAAATAAAGTAGAATAAATTTTTTATTTATGTAAAAACTCCGACTTTTTTCAAAGACATTTGGTTTAATAAAATTGGAATAAATTGTGAAAAGTATTTCATGAAAAAAAGCCAATAGTATTTTAATAATTTTATCATGAGTTGGGTAATGAAATATTCTTGATAAACATGAAATGATATGTAATTTATTTGTGACAAAATAAATAGTAGCAACAATGAGTTTAAATTGTAATGATGTCAGTGTGATGGCTAAGAATGAGTTTAAACTACCTAAATGAAATTATTGAGTAGTATGCTGAGATAAAAGAAAACAGGAGGCATCAAGTTGGTTTGATTGAGTCGGCATTTGTCCCGGCGGAACACATCGATGAAGTTACATTACTTGATCGAGTCTCTAGACTGAGTTACGCAAAGTGGAAGCTCCCAGATCTCGGGTTCCTACTGAAAACTAGTCTGGCTGACTGAACTCGCTTTTCCAGGCCACTTGAATCAAACTTCTAGGCAAAAGTTTCACCTATTCACGACCTTGGCTGCACTCTAAATCATGCAAACTAAAACTCGCAGTTTGTTCTTTTATGATTTTATTACTTTGGCCTTTATACTTGATGAGTTATTATTGATGATAATTTGAAAGATTATAAATCTTATGATAACTAAATGAATTTGTTGGGTAGAATAAATAGTTCAAGAAGATGAAAATATTGAGCCAAAATAAAAATAAAGAGTATCCAGGACTTTAGCACTGAATCTCACCAAAGAGGGCAAACATATGAAATTTGGTCGCTGATGATGTTATTGGATTTACTTGTCAGAGCAAGTATTAAACTAGACAACTGGTTGTTCGGGTGATACAAGGTGCTCATTGAGCAATAATGTGGGGTTTAAAAGGAGGGAAAGTCCCTTCGGGACCCAAAGGTACCCTTCTCTACTAGCAAAAGCTTCCACCACTCTAACCCAAGTCGTATGTTCTCTGTTTCTCCCTCGCACTCCAGTTGGGATAAACAGATTAGGTAACTACGTGATAAGTCGGTAAGTGGGTTCATTCGGTCCACAGTCTAAAGCACAACTGGACCCTATACACACAGTACAGATGAGTCTTCCCCTCAGAATGAACGTACCAACGCTCTCTAACATCTCACTACCTCGTTAGTGTCATTAGTGACGGTCGAGGTGTCATTAGATTTGGCTCTTGCTACGTGTAGTTTTTCCACCGACGCCAATCCTCTTCTTGTACTCTGGATAAAAATAAAAATGGTACTGTCATGAAGTTGCTCTTTAAGTCAGGAAGTTGGACTTTGTCGGTATTAATTGGAGGATTTCTCTTTCAGGATGATGATGAAGTGCCATCATAAGCAAACCACTTTATCATTGAGACATGTCAAAAAGCATGAAAGGATTCTTGCCATCAAGCACGTTTCTTACCCTTTTAATTTCTTTTTTTTTACGATTACTATCTATTTCTAGTTCCTTTTATTATAAACTAATTCATCTTTCATTTTATGATGAAAATGTTTTTTTTGTTGAATAATACTAACTTTTAATAAACTAAATAATATAATTGTATATTTAAAACTAAATATTACAACGTTTTTTATTATTATGAGGTTAATTTTTGTAAAACTAATTAGCTGCTAATGATATGTCTTATTACTTATAATTGATGTGGCTAGTTAAGGTCTCCAGTAAATCAATTCTTGACCTGTAAAACCCTAAACATAATCAATTGAATTTAGAATATATATTTAAAACATCATCACGGAATATGTTATCAAAGAAAATCCAAGATGGCAAATTGATTTTTATTTACTTGTAGCAGATCGAGTGAAATCTAGTGCTGTAGGGTTGGAATCGAATGAGAGGAATATCGGCTCGTGGCTTTCGAGCTCAGCAAACTTGTCGGTTCCCCTCTACCGTTCTTAATAAATTGGATCAACTTCTCATCCTGCAGTTTCTCTCTTATGTCTTTCGATATCATCTCTTTCTACTACGGGACTTTGCCCTCTCTTTTACTACACGGATGAGTTGTATGAGTTGTCTAGCTTTTGGCTTTACTTTTCCAACTTTAATCTAAGATCTTGAGTGGATTTTAGTTTGGAGACCTAGTAAATTTATTTACGACTCTTACTTTTTTTTTTGTAGAATATACTTCCTTCTTGTATGGACTACAACCCAACTGATTCTAATCAATACACATTAATAGAAAAAATTTATTTATCCAGCATCATTTCTTTGATGAAGATTGTTTGATATAATCCATTTAAAATTCGAAAATCATTTTCGGTAATTTATTCTTCATATGTTCTTCTGTTTAGATGAGGTGTTGCAATTAAGCCTGTATAATTACTGATGGTGAATTCAATTTTAATATTTTTTAACCACATGAATTTCAACCTAGAATTCCAAACCATATATTATGAAGTTAATGAAATAAAAACATATGGGTAAAAAACTGTGAAACATGAAAAGGGGCATAACTTCTATGCTAATAATGCTACTGGGCTGATCGAGGGCTCAAATAGAAGATCTGGACGAGAGGAAACAAGTGCACATAGTTAAAATCATAATTGAAGCATAATTCATGCTAAAATTAGAGCAACTTCCGGTTTTACCCCATTTTAGAAGTGAAGGAATTAATTTTTCAAATGTTTGACCCGATTCCGCATTTCTACGCATTGAGACGAAGAGAATGAGTGGTCAATCATCAAAATCGGACAACTTTGATTTTTCACCCCCAAAAAATGGCAAGTGGTACCCCTTTCCATTTTTTTAGGCCAAAAAATAAAAGTACTCCGATTCTAATGATTGAGGGCTCATTCTCTTCGTCTTGATGCGTAGAAATGCGGAATCGGGGCACCGGTCAAGAAAATTCACTTTAACACCCTTAAGAAGGGGTTACACTAGATACAAATTACGAATTATTATCCCCTTGACTTTAAACCCTTATAACTCTTGAACGAGCGGTCCAATAATCGTTTTTAGGGACGTTTTAGAAACCTGAAAATCTAAGCTAAATATGTATATCCATAAAAAACGATTGAAAAATTTCTTTCACCCTTAAAATCGCTAAAATATAAAAAAAAATCACATTTTTTTGGGAAGTTGCCAACTATTTTGGCCATTTTCAGGGTGAAATAAATTTTTTTGACATTTCTTATGGATATATATCTGTAGCTTAGATTCTAAAGTTTTTGAATATCCCTTAAAAGTCATCGTTTGATAATTTTTTCACGAGTTGTAACGGTCTAAAGTCGAAGTAATGTCAAAAAGTCAGCTTTTCTTCGTCAAAAAGTCAGCTTTTCTTCGACTTTAGACCTTTATAACTCGTGAAAAAATTATCAAACAATGATTTTTGAGGGATATTCAGAAACTTTAGAATCTAAGCTACAGATACATATCCATAAAAAATGTCAAAAAAATTTATTTCACCCTTAAAATGGCCAAAATAGTTGGCAACTTCCCAAAAAAATGTGATTTTTTTTTATATTTTAGCGATTTTAAGGGTGAAAGAAATTTTTCAATCGTTTTTTATGGATATACATATTTAGCTTAGATTTTCTGGTTTCTAAAACGTCCCTTAAAACTGTTATTGAACTGTCCGTTCAAGAGTTATAAGGGTTTAAAGTCAAGGGGATGATAATTTGTAATTTGTATTTAGTGTAACCCCTTTTTAAGGGTGTTAAAGTGAATTTTCCCGAGCGGTGCCCCGATTCCGCATTTCTACGCATCAAGACGAAGAGAATGAGCCCTCAATCATTAGAATCGGAGTACTTTTATTTTTTGGCCTAAAAAAATGGAAAGGGGTACCACTTGCCATTTTTTGGGGGTGAAAAATCAAAGTTGTCCGATTTTGATGATTGACCACTCATTCTCTTCGTCTCAATGCGTAGAAATGCGGAATCGGGTCAAACATTTGAAAAATTAATTCCTTCACTTCTAAAATGGGGTAAAACCGGAAGTTGCTCTAATTTTAGCATGAATTATGCTTCAATTATGATTTTAACTATGTGCACTTGTTTCCTCTCGTCCAGATCTTCTATTTGAGCCCTCGATCAGCCCAGTAGCATTATTAGCATAGAAGTTATGCCCCTTTTCATGTTTCACAGTTTTTTACCCATATGTTTTTATTTCATTAACTTCATAATATACATATATATTGTTTTTGCAAGTAAAAAACATTTAAAATACGTTCGGAGTAGCGAGGGTTAATTTTCAAAAAAAAAAAAATTTTCGTTCCTTAAACGTTTCCCATAGTTCTATAAGGAGATCGTCGGGGAACTTTTCCACTTGAAAACATTCAAGGCACCTTCGGGGTACGAAATTTTTCTGTATAGGCTGTTTCCGAATTCTTCCATAAATTTTAATGTTACTTCAAAATCAATAAAAATATATATAAATAATTCAATGATTCTGAAAACCTGAAGAAAATTTAGCTCTTTAGAAATAAATTTCACTAATTACACTTCATTATTAATACAGTACCTATAATCTCTTTTCTTCTTGCAATGATTACCTTTGCATTGCATTGAAAATCTCAAAAGCTTATGAGCTTAACTGTTACACTTCATACGTACATGAGTGTACTTGATTTAACCCAATTAAATTTACATTATTCAATCGAGAGTAGAATAAAATTAAGTTGAAATAAAAATAAAGTAATACTTAAAGTTCTTACTCAGAGTAAAGTATGAAATTGATCTTTATAAAAATTCATTATCTTTTCTAAAGTAAAATTTAATGGTTGATTTCCATCTTAAATAAAGTTAATTAGTAATGATTTAAAAATCTACCAAAAAGTTTGATCTCATCATAAACTCAGGGATTATAAAACTTCTTCTACTTCAATTTGTAGCTAACATTTTTGTTTTCTTTGTATTTTTCAGACACAAGTTACTCAGCTTATCATCCAGCACTTCACGGAGTTGGCGAGGATTCTTTTGTCCGTAGGAAGCAAAGGAGAAATCGAACGACTTTTACACTGCAGCAATTGGAAGAACTGGAATCAGCATTTGCTCAAACACACTATCCAGATGTGTTCACTCGTGAGGATTTGGCGATGAAAATAAATTTAACAGAAGCTAGGGTTCAGGTTTGTTAAAAACATTTGTATATTTTCAAATAATTGAAGTCATTATAATTTTAAAGGAATAAAATAAAAATTACAAATGCTAGAGTAAAATGGAATTAAAGTGTGAAAATGAATGCATGAATGTAGACTTTTGCTGATGTCTAAACTGTGGTCTCTTGGGGCAAGCTGACACCCTTGAACTCATATAATCTGTTGACGAGGTGAGTTGGTAATCCTTAGGATTATTTCTCCATGCCTTGCTCTTTCGCCTACAAAATCTTGTGTTAAGTCTGAAACAATACATAAAAACATGTCAGATTAACACTACTACTGTTGATAATTATATTATTTTTTTAATTATAAAAATGTTTCAATAAATTTTTACATTAGCTAATGACTTTCACATCAGGAAGAACTTATTTCAATTTTAAAAAATGTATGCAAATAATTCTGTTACAGTTAAATATTAGTAAGTAAACAAAGAATAATTCGAAAATGATAATGATCTTTACGGTTGTCAAACCATAAAAAAAAAATGGAATTTGAAAATATAAATTTTTATTTATTCCTGATAAAAAAAAGTAGTTCGTTGAATGTTCGTGAGGATTTTATGGTGTACTGAACAGGGCATGGAGGTGGGTTAGAAACTTTTCGTTTCGATCGTAGCTGTTTCAGAGGCCGTAGGAAAATGGTTTAATAAAATAAATACGCGAGGCCAATGTTCTCTGGATAGTAGGTAGAGAATCCTCTACCTCCAGATCGCGTGAGGGAGAGTAAAAGAGTGAAAGAGGATGTGGGAAGGATGACTGCTGTTGGTGCTATTGGGGTGCCAGAGGGAGTTGGGTGGCAGACAGGAGATATAATAATATCCTAAGGGTTGCGGGGGCGAATAATAGCCAGGAACAAAGCCACTGTTCTCTTGAGAATACTCATAGCCTTTCTCTCTTGCATCCTTCAATGTTCCATTCGCTCTTTGCTATTTTTTTCAATCTAAATTTAATCCGAATATGTCAATAACTTCAGTTTCATTGTCTAAAATTGTCGGAAAAATTTTTAAATCCAATTTTTTTTCATTTATATGATTGTTTGCCATTTTTTTTTTTTCAAAAGATATTTTCTATTTAATCTATATTGAAAATAATTGTTTAATGAAATTATTGATTTTTTTTAAGAGTATGTCGAATGTCTCTAATAATTTAATTTATATTAAAATTATATAATAAAAGTTAAAGTTGATTTAGAAAATTTATCCTGTAGTATGTAGATATTAGTTTGTTGTCGAAGTCTTTGCATCATCTAATTTAAAAAATTTGAAGATATTAAAGAGAACATGAACTTATTGTTTCAGTTAAAAAGTAAGGGTTTTTACTGTCAGGAAATTCATGATCTGTTTAATCAATCGTTTATTTAGAAAAAGATTACTTTACTCATTAATACTGTATGTTTTTAAAAATAAATAAAAATATTCACTTTCTGCAAAGACTTGTTCAACAACTCAATTTAAAGCACTTCAAATGTAAAATTTAGAAGTGTTTTATTTGAATGCACTTAAAGATGTTGAAAAGAAGATCACAATGATAATTGAATGGGTGACATTATATTAAAACATATTATATGCATTGAAATAAAACAGTACGATTTGCAGAGAGGTTGAAGGAAAAAATGATAAAATTTTTTATCTTTATTTTGGACCACTCTGAGAAAATGTTTTGCGTTGAGTGGGAAATAAAGAGTGTCAGGTGCCAGTTCGTCACACGTGACGCGCGTACGTGCTTGTCTGGACCTCCTAGAACCCCTTAATTGAAGTGTGAGATAGAATGATCGTGGCTAAAGAAAGAGAAATAAAGAGAATGTAAAAAGCATTGCATAAACGCGTCTATTTGTGCATTATTCGTGATTCTCTTTGTCTCTTTAATGAAACAATGAGTCTGCGCTGTAATTGCGTCATACTCAAACTCCTCCCTTTCCTTTTTTTCTATCCGCCATTTCGTACTCTTCTTTTCTCAATCTCATCCGCAAAAATCGTACAAAACATCACTTGCATTTACTTTATACCATTTAATGTTTCATGATTCTCAGTTTAAATTTATTTCTGTACAAAAAAGACTTTTTATTTTATTTTGTCAACAAAAACAAAAACTCAATGATAAAATTCAAGACTACTAAATTATTCTTATTTTTGTAATAATAAACATTTTAGTAATCTTAAAAAATTTCTTAGTATTTTTTGTATATTAAAAAATATAATTCTTAAATAAGATTGATAAATAAAATGCTCTAGGAGTCAGAATTAATTTTATCAACAGCACGAAATGAGAATAAAAAAATTTTGAAATAAGAGTCTACGCTACTGCCATCTGTTATATATATATTTTCTTTTAAATTAATACTTTTTTTTTTATAGTTAAATGAGACTAGATGTAGCAGATGCAATGAAGTCCTATTTCAGTTGGCATTATGTCAAGTTAGACTCGTTAGTACACGGCTCGAGACTCTTTTAAAAAACACTCGGGGACAGTGGTCGACTCGTGGCTCGTTGAACATGCACATCCTCTACCTCACCGTCACTTTTTGCCTTTGGCGAAACCCTCTAGTACAGAATTATCACTTCATCCTTTGCACATTCCTAATTATCACCATTACAAACTTGATCCAATTCAAACAGAAAAATATAATAAAATAAATAATTGAAAAAAGAAAGAAGATGTTGGTTTCTAATCATCAAGCAGCATTGTATTTTAGCGTTAATCGATTTAGTGATAAATATTATTTGATGTTAAATGAAAACAAATGTTTGATTAAATGAATGAATTTTTTAATGCAGGTATGGTTCCAAAATCGACGAGCAAAATGGCGCAAGAGCGAGAGACTAAAGGAGGAGCAGAGGAAACGTGAGGGTGGAAGCGTGCCTACAGGCAGTGGCGGTGGTGGAACAACGCCAGAGGGTGGACTGCCGCCATCTTCGTCAAACGGGCCAAGTCCAACGAGTCATCATGATGCTATGGAATCTAATGAAGCTGAAGAGGTCCAACAGGAGTGTGGAACAGGCTCGAGGAGTCCCAGTACTACTTCTGCCTCTGTCAGTCCTCGTCCTCAGCAGTCTCAGAGTCAAGCCTCACTAGGAAGTGTTTCTACCCCACCACCAACACCAGTAAGAGCGGCACTGTCATCGAATTCGACTAATAGTCTTATTCCTCCCTCTGACAGGTGAGCTTTCAACTCCGTCCCTTCTTCATGAGATTTTTCTTTAATTTTATAGCCATTGTTGTTATCGATTTTCGACTTGAAAACTATCATGAAAAATTGCAATCGTTTGTGATATAACTTTAAGTCATAAAAAAAAGTCACAGTTGGGGGTCTAAGACCCCCTGCGTGAGGTGAGCTTTTACTTGTTCGTATTTACGCCATACGGATATATCACAAAGCATATAAACTACCCCCAATGTGTCCGAGAGTAGACAGAGTGAGTACGGAAGTTCGACACGCGCCATTAAATCGCAGAACGTTTCTCTATCTCTTAGCACTTCCGTTTTCTTTCTGTTTCTCGTAAAATTTCAAGGGCTTTCTATTAAAGAAGGAATGAACAGTTTACTCTGCAGTAATTATCTTTGCTTTCACTCGATTACTTGTAATAAATTACAGTTAATTTTTTTCAGATCAAAATGTCTTTTATATTTCTATTCGTGTTACTGTTAGTTTGTTTTAATTAAACGTCATTATTACTTTATATTATAATTAATTTAATCTTGTTGAATTATTAGAATTGAAAAATAAATATGTAGAAATAATAATGATTACATTATAAAGGAATATACTATTTTTTCCATTAAAACAATTTAAATATTTTATTTAAATTCCAAATCCGATGAAAAAAATCAAACGTTAGCATGGTTAATAATTGATCAGATGACTGAAAACAAAGAAAAGAATTACGAAAAAGTAGCCGAAAGACTTAAACTTTGAAAGGGAGGAAAAAAATGAAATTTAAGAATGAGTAAAATAAAAAAACAAGAGGATATCTAACGTCAGAACGTACTCGGTCGGCTACGCAGTTGTAATTTATTTAAAACAGTTGGTCGTAAATATATCCTCATCATTTATTCAACCGATTCCTGCTCTTGAAGCTCCTTGTAACTTCTCTATACCAGAGAGGGTAAGCTCTGCATTTCTCCTACGGCCACTTGGCTCCACATAAGACGTTGCCTTTATGTACAATACCCATTTCTTACCCCGTTCGTCTCATCTTCTTTTCTGTTTCACCCTTCTTTGACTTTTCTCTTGTGGGAACTCCATTATGAAGGGACGTTTTAGTATTGGTTGTCATGTTATCACACCATAGGAATAACATGTGATTAAATTTGAAATCAATTGACAAGCCTCAACAATCTGGAAAAAAAGGAAAGAATTAAAATTTAATTTATTTTACTTTCCCATTCATGATCCCAAATATTCTAATTGATTGAATATTAAAGAAAATTCAAAATCGATTTCGAGAAAGTATTAAATATTCACTGCGCATTGTCAAAGAGTTGGCATTTTAAACAAACTTATTATCAACATTATTTTCCATCTTTAATGTTTAGATATTGAAAGATATTGAGAAATGAGAACCAAAATGTTTAGTAAAAGCAATTAAAATGTTTATTAAAGATAAATATATATTGACAAATTTAAAAAGATATCTAGTCAAGGCAAATCTCTGTCAAATACTGAACAAATCGATGAAGCGTTGCTATTAACAAATTCAATCGTTTGTCAATTAATGTATGGATAGAGATGTATATTAATTTTACAATGTTATGCGAGGGGGGAGTGTTTGATTAATTAAAAGAGTAATTATATGTAAGTCACCACTTGATTTATATATAAATAGTTAATAGAACATATTGGACAATCACATTCTATGCAACTGGAGAACTCATTATCAAAGTAATGTCTATCTACAGCAGAAAAAGAAATGTAATGAGTAATAGTCTAACCCCTATATTAGCGAAAAACTGTGAAACATGGAAAAGTGCATAACTTCTATGCTAATAATGCTACTGGGTTGATCGAGGGCTCAAATGGAAGATCTGGACTAGAGGAAACAAATGCATGTAGTTAAAATCATAATTGGAGCATAATTGATGCTAAAATTAGAGCAATTTCCGGTTTTACCCCATTTTAGGGGTGAAGGAATTAATTTTTCAAATGTTTGACCCGATTCCGCATTTCTACGCATTGAGACGAAGAGAATGAGTGGTCAACTTGAAAATCGGACAACTTTGATTTTTCGACCCCAAAAAATGGCAAGTGGTACCCCTTTCCATTTGTTTAGGCCAAAAAATAAAAGTACTCCGATTTTCGAGTTTGACCACTCATTCTCTTCGTCTTAATGCACAGAAATGCGGAATCGGGGCACCGTCAAGAAAATTCACTTTAACACCCTTAAAAAGGGGTTACACTAAATACAAATTACAAATTATCATCCCCTTGACTTTAAACCCTTATAACTCTTGAACGGACAGTTCAATAACAGTTTTAAGGGACGTTTTAGAAACCAGAAAATCTAAGCTAAATATGTGTATCCATTAAAAAACAATTGAAAAATTTCCTTCACCCTTAAATTCGCTAAAATGTAAAAAAAAATCACATTTTTTTAGGAGTTTGCCAACTATATTGGCCATTTTGGGGGTGAAATAAATTTTTTTGAGTTTTTCATGGATATGTATCGCTAGCTTAGATTCCAAAGTTTCGAATATCCCTTAAAAATCATCGTTTGATAATTTTTTCACGAGTTATAAAGGTCTAAAGTCGAAGAAAAGCTGACTTTTTGACATTACTTCGACTTTAGACCGTTACAACTCGTGAAAAAATTATCAAACGATGACTTTTAAGGGATATTCAAAAACTTTGGAATCTAAGCTACAGATACATATCCATAAGAAATGTCAAAAAAATTTATTTCACCCCTGAAAATGGCCAAAATAGTTGGCAAACTTCCCAAAAAAATGTGATTTTTTTTTACATTTTAGCGATTTTAAGGGTGAAGGAAATTTTTCAATCGTTTTTTATGGATATACATATTTAGCTTAGATTTTCAGGTTTCTAAAACGTCCCTAAAAACGATTATTGGACCGCTCGTTCAAGAGTTATAAGGGTTTAAAGTCAAGGGGATAATAATTCGTAATTTGTATCTAGTGTAACCCCTTCTTAAGGGTGTTAAAGTGAATTTTCTTGACCGGTGCCCCGATTCCGCATTTCTACGCATCAAGACGAAGAGAATGAGCCCTCAATCATTAGAATCGGAGTACTTTTATTTTTTGGCCTAAAAAAATGGAAAGGGGTACCACTTGCCATTTTTTGGGGGTGAAAAATCAAAGTTGTCCGATTTTCAAGTTTGACCACTCATTCTCTTCGTCTCAATGCGTAGAAATGCGGAATCGGGTCAAACATTTGAAAAATTAATTCCTTCACCCCTAAAATGGGGTAAAACCGGAAGTTGCTCTAATTTTAGCATCAATTATGCTCCAATTATGATTTTAACTACATGCATTTGTTTCCTCTAGTCCAGATCTTCCATTTGAGCCCTCGATCAACCCAGTAGCATTATTAGCATAGAAGTTATGCACTTTTCCATGTTTCAGTTTTTCGCTAATATAAGGGTTAGACTATTACTCATCAAAACGGCAACTTTCTTTAATTTTCGCATAAAATATGACATTGCAGTGCTAAATGTTTAATAATTATTTTTAAAAAAATGTAAAGAATAATTTTAAAAAAAGATATTTCATTTAGAATAAATTATGAAGCAGAATATTCATAATGGTGCAATAAAGTTCAATTATATTTGAGACATTATAATACAAATATTTGATAATCCGTGAAAGATAAGCTCAAGAATGTGATCTCTTGGGGCAACGTTATACTCTCAGAGTCCCACCACACGGCGCCTAATATATCCTTCTTCATGTGTAACATCATATTTGTAGAGCAATTGCCATGAAGGTGAGAGATTCTCCAAGTACGGAGCTTAGAAGCTCTTGGTTGTGCGCATAGGGTTCTACGCATCTAATTGCTACTAATTATCACGCTTACTCCTTCTCTTAAGTTACCACCACTTTCATTTCTCATCTATTTCTCTTTCTCCTTTACTTCTTGTCTCTCTACTTACTCCAGCTTCCACTTCCTAGCTAGATTCTCTATCGCAATCTCACCACCAACGTGATGATTAATTAAACGAAATTCACTATTAATATTCAAACTGTTTCAAAGGATGTTTTCTGTAAATTTCAATTTAATTATAAACATTCTAGACAACATTGATGAGAAGGTATTACTTTGAATAATAAAGTTACTCGAATATACGTTTCAATCAAGTAATGAAATTTATGATAAATCCTTTATGAAATTCAAGTTCTGGTAAACTTCAAAAACCAATTTTTGTTTAACCAGAAAGTCTGAATTTTGATAAATGAATTCATTTCGTTCTTTTTTAAGAAGTAGTTTCAAATAAATCGTTTACTACAGCTTTATTCTTCAAACTGTTTGATTTATTTTTGATCATGTCTACAATATTTTTAAATTCATCAATTTGTTATTCAAATGAATCAATGTAAATGTATCTTTGTAGATAATTCATTCCCTAAATGTATTAATTAAAAATTGATAATTACTTGCATTAAATTACTATTTATTTAATAAATGAATTCTCTATTATTCCAGCACCACGGTAACAGCAGGATTTAGGCCGGTTGAACCTCCAACTTCGCTTTTCTTTTCCCCACATCTGGCGGCCCAATTTTCACCACCACTCTTTGGTAATAAAATCGTGGGATCAACAGCAACATCTCTGAGCACAGCGACACCATCTTTATGGACTAACAGTGATCATAGACCAAGTAGTCTTCAGGAGATGCTTTCTTGGACTCCAACATGGCCAGGATCTCTGTGTGGTTGTTGTAAACCTGGTGCAGGTGATCTACACCGAAATAGTAGTCTTGCTGAGTTAAGAAGAAAGGCCCAAGAACACACAACAGCCACAGCACTTTTAGGAGGCTTAGCTGGTTTTCCTGGTGGACTGCCATTACCTCTTCATCTTCCACTACTTCCTCCACTTCTTGGATTATCACGAAGACCTGAGCATCATCATATATCAAGTGTTGTGCATCAGATTCAACCGAGTACTAAAGAAGACCCTTAGAGCTTCCATTTCTTGCCATCTAAACCTTATAGATTTTAATCAAAATATTTTCCTTTCAATTCAGAGACGTTTCATAAATGGTCAGGATTACTTTTGTGTGCCTGATGAAGATCTTTATAATAAGATTGGTGTATGAAAAAATTATTCAAGTGTTTACGTACAGTAATGGATATAAAGAATGAATGAAAGGATAAAAAATATATTTAAAAAAAAAATGTGTGGGAAAACTTTTGAAACAGAAATGAGAAAAAAAAAGTAAATCAAAGATTAATAAATTAAAGATAAGATCTTGAAATTTAGAATAATGTATTTAGAAAAATAATGGAAATCTTGTATATTCATGTCCTTTAATTATGTTACATATTAAAATTAAATAATGTAATAAATAAAATGAACATTCATGACTATAAATAAATAATTGAATTTAAAAATAAACAGTTTGATTTAGAAAATACTGTAAGTGACATTATAGAAGTCAGAATAAACTTGTTCTCGTGATAATTTGGAGTTTTATTTTTGAAATTTCAAAATTAATTTAATAGAAATAACCTTTATCTATTTCTATGATATCTAAATTATTTATAGAATTAGTATTGAAGTGATGATATATTTTCTTGAATTATTTATAATAAAATCAATTAATCTTACAAGTTACTTGTCAATTTTATTTTTAAAAATATAATACATTAAAATAGTATGATAATAATAACAAGTTGATAGTTGATAACTCAATTTAAGCTTCATTTTTGTTTTTTTGATGAAAAGCTTATTAACTTATCACATATTGATTTTAAACTCTAAGTAATAAGTTTTATAGTTTTTTGATTTATTAAATGAAGAGATATAATTTTGATTTAATAAAAAACAATCAGAAATAATTTCATGCTTTTTTTCTACTAAAAAATCAGATCAATCAATTTATAAAACTTTGAAAGTTTAAATTAATGCAGAAAAAAAACTATTTAAATAAAAAAAAAAAAAATCATTTAAAAAGAAAAAAGTTGAAGTCAGTCGCGTGCCGTCAAATAAGAAGGAAATCTTGTGATAGACCTCTTTCTACATTACAGCAGCAAGAGGAAGGGATAAAGGAGCGAGTAGTCAAGATGGAAAAAGAAAAGGACGAGCCGGAAGAAAGTTAGATGGGGGTTGTTGGCAATCAATGCTTTTCAGAAGAAAAAGCTCTTGTCTCCCTTCTCCGGTTTGATAATCTCTCTTGCAGAGAATCTAGAAGAAGGGGTTGGTCTATTCCTCAGCCAATGAGAGCCAAGACGCCATTGATCGGCACGTGGCTAGCAAGTCTACGAAGTAGGGGAGTGAAAGCTCGTGGAGGAGGGAAAATTGTAAGCTCGAAGGGGAAACACTCTGCACACTCCGTTACACTTACTGGTAAACCGTATTAATCAACGACATCATGGTTTATCCGTTCGTACCACCTTTACAACCTAACATCTATTCATCCCTTTTCTCTTAAACTACCACACACCAACTCGACTACTCAGTTGAAGCTTTCCCTTCACTCCACGCCTCTTTTTCGACTTACACAAGAGCTTGTGGGTAGACTTGCACAAAGACTATAGCTATTTAGGTGCTGTACCAGGAGAAGGGGCAAGAACTGCCAAAGAGGCGCCAAGGCACTTTGCGCGAGACGATCGACTCTTAACGACGCTTTGAATCTTCGCGTGACTATCCGGAATTTCTTTATACTCATCGTTATATCGTGGCCTCCATTATTGTTTTACTCTATTTAAGAACTAGGAAATGTAAACAAAGAAAGACTGAACATCTATTAACTTCTATGCTACAAAAAATTATCTATTTATTTGCTACTTTCTTCCATGTTATTTTCAATATAAAAAATGTATCTTTTTAATATTAATCAGCCATTCAATTTATGATTTTATTGCAATTAAGTTTCTAGAATGCATAAGAAATTGAATTAAATAAAATTTTCAAGATGATTTAAAACTTGATGAATATTCGTCTAAGCTTCATTAAAATAATACACCAATGAATAATAAGTTTTGTTATTTATTAAAAGCTGTGAATAAGTTATAAACATATTTAATAATATCTGTTGGTTTTGCTAAGTTGAAATTGATGAAAAAATATTGTCTAATAAATAAGCAAACTTTCAGGTTAATTAAATGCTTTGATAGAATTTCCAACCAACCTAGAACTCCATTATTTAACATGACAAGTAGAATTTTGAATATTCCCAGATAACTTAAATGAATAAAATGAATAACGATCCAGATTTTCTTTTAATGCTTTGATATTCGCATGGAATACATATAAAGGAATGATGAGAGCTAATGAATTCGAACGTGTGGCTTTCTGATAGACTCATGGGGATGAACACGAGATACTACCCTCTAAGGAGGAAAGAATGAAAGGGAGGAGTTGATAATGCGAATGTATAGAAGTTAGTAGACAGTGATTAATTTTGAGTCGTCGTCTTACATCTTCTATACATCTTTTTCTTTTTCTTTCAGTCTCTTATCTCCTCTTTTAATCTCTCTTCTATCCTTTAAGGCAACTATTATTTTTCTTTCTTTCATTTTCTCATTCTTCCTTTCTCGAGCTTTCGTTTTTCACTCTCTTCTGTGTTACCCCACTTCTTGTATGATACCGCAACATTCCCTAACCACGATGATAAAAGGTTTTACGAAATTCATTGTCGAGCAATTTGCATGTCAAAGCTTTTCTTCTCGTGAGGTATGAAGATAATGCATTTTCTTATTCGTCTTTGGGTCCTGTGCTCATAACTGCAGAGATCTTCATTACTTCTGGACATTATTATTTTCATCAGGATAAGGAATGATCACCTTTCTGAGCATTTTTTATTGCCATTTCAATTAATTATTCTATTTATGTGATTATAATTTGTTGAAAAATAATTAATTAAAGTTAAAATCAATTTAAGTGTTTAATAATTAATACTTTAATTGTGTAGTTTTTAAAATCTCTGTAAAATTTTGCTATTCAAAAAAAAGTTAATTTCATCAACAAAAAGAATTTGAAATGTTTGCAAGGAAATTTTTGATTGAATTTCATGAAATTTTAGATTATGGTAAGTTCAAATACAAGTGATATTAGATTCATTGCAAATCTGAGTGTTTAGAAACTAAACATTTGAAGTGTTTACAATGTTAGACGCCATATATAAACTATAGTAATTTTATAGACGAATTTTAAACGTGTTTTGTCGTTTCCCAAAGTGCTGTAATTTATTTATGGTGTTTAACATTATAAATACTCAGGTGTTTAATTATTGAACACTTTAAGCATTTTATTACTGAACACTTAAATGATCCTGGATTTTCAGTATTATTTCCGCAAATTTTTATTTAAAATAATCCCATTATGATTAGAGTAGTACATCTTCTCGATTGGCATCTATAGTCAATCTAAAAAATTTTATTTTTTATTTTCAGTATTATGTGATAGACTTTATTTTTTCCTCCATTGAATATCGTAGTCGTAGGTTTTATAGGTAGTCTCAGTGGATTTTCTTCGAGTGGATTGAAGGATTGTAGAGATGTGGAGTTGGAGAAAAATTTATCATGGCTGTCAGGTGATACTAAGGGGATCAAGAGTCGCAATGATTTTCAATTTCTAAATCCACTTTCCAGCTTGACGTTCTGTAGAGCTTTTTTTCCTCGTAATTTTATACATCTCTTAACTTATTAAATATACATACCATCTAAATAAATGGTTGCTGTCAAGTAATTCATTATTTCTCTTTTCAATTTACCATTAAAAAAATAATAACAATAAATACATTTCATTCAGTCATTCAAAAATTAATCTTTATAGTATTTTATACAATATTATTAAATTATTATGACACGTCAAACCTAGTTTTTGTGTATCAAATAATAAATAATAAATTGTGGCTAAGCTTCTTTTATAAATCTATATATTTCTTAGATATATATAAAGTATATTAAGTAAATAAATTACCTTTTCAAACTAAACGACCATTAAAAAATGTTTTAATAAATTAAAATCAATGATTTTAAAATAAACTAATATGATTATAAAGATAATTAACGACTGAAATGATAATGTTTGATTATTGAATATTGCTGCAATAATATTTAAAGTAAAACTTATTAAAAACATTTGCCTTTTAGCCTTGATAATAGCATCGATAAAATTAATAAAGTCATTTATTTGATGTTTGCATTAAGTGCATCTCGTTCGGGTTATCGAGCGATTATATACAGTCGCTCTACGTAAACCCTAGAATTCAAACCCCCTCAATTTACCCTCGTGCCTCCACAGCTCTACTCTACTATTTCTCCCAGTGGTAGCAAGCGCAACCGAGCGGCCGCCAATTATTCAGCAAATGTTATAATTGGCGCATTCCATTAGACGTAATGGATCGCACTTAGCGGCTGCCGGTGTGATTGGGGATGAGAGGGAGACTGAGGGGTGAGGATCAACGGCATATAGACTCGTACTACTATGCGGTAGATATTGTGAGAGAGAAGGAAAGAGAAGGAGAAGGAAGAGAGAGATATGGGTTCAGGTGGAAAGCTTGGTAAAGCGCTGAACCAATCTCGATTATACTACTGCAACGAAGGATTACACTGTGTCCCGTTGGATATATACCATCGGATTAATTCAAATTCATGCTGACGATCTTTCATCCGGTTTATTTGCTAACGCTCTTTCCACGCTCTATTCAATTTCATCTTTTTCGTTTCCTATTTCACTTCTATTTAAACTCCAATGCTGTTAATTTCCGTGAAAAATATTTACATACATCATTGACAGTATTTTTAAGACGATAAAATGAAGAAATTGTATTCTTCTGTTTTTATCAGTTGTTTAGTTATTTTTATTTAAGAGTTTGAAATTTTTTTAAACTTTTAACAGATGAATATTTAAATTAATTTTTTTTCCATCGATTTAAAAGGTTTCTTTTAAATAATGTTTTACGAGAATTACAACAAGTTATTAATCAATCTGCATGTTTGTATTTTTTAGTAGCTACATTTTTGTTGAAAAATATCAAAAAGAAATATGATTTTGGAATATATTTGGTTTTATAGTCACTGAAGAAATAACATTTCTGAATTGAAGAAGAGGTTTACTACGCTAACAAAATTTTACAGTTGTAGAAACAATACTCTACTTTTTAGATTAATTATCCAACCTTTAAAATTCATAGTATTACTACTGTGGCAATACTTCACTTGCTCATATG